TACTCGTCCTCTGCATTATGAAGCCTGCTTTGTACAGCCTTTAGGTCAGCTCTCATCTCAGCCAATGAGTTTACCAATTCTATTTGGCTCTTCTTTATAGCTGCAATTTCATTTTTGACATTTTATATCTCTCAACACTATCTCTGTTAGTTCCTTCAGTACTTACTTTGATGACTGCTTTTTTGAAATCTTGATCTAGCAGTCCATCAAGGTCTATTTCATCAATGGTTCTTTCAGGGGCTTTCTCTTTGTCTTTTAATTGGGAGTGGTTCCTCTGCTTCTTCATGTCACTCCTATCTCTCTGGCACTGTGACTTAAGGTGTATCAGTTATCTATTGTGGTCTTCAAGGAGTTTATCTATCTAAAAAAATATGCAGGAATAAACAGATTCGTGATGTCTTTGTCTTTTGAAGAGGGTGATGTTCTGTCAGAGTTCAGCAGGTGCTCTGGTTGGCTGGGTGTGTCTGTAGATGTGAGTGTTGGTGGGAGAGGGTGAGCTATGAGTGTTCTTCTACTCTGCCATGTTGGCTGATCCCCGAGATTTTTCTTTTTTCTTGATGCAGGCATTTATTGTCATGAACTTCCCTCACAGAACTGCTTTTGCTGCTTCTCATAACTTTTGTACATGGTATTTACATTTGTCTTAAGGTATGTTTTTAAGTTTCTTTTGATTTTTTTCATCAATTCAATTGTAGTTCAGTGGTATGTTGCTAATCTTTACCTGCTTGTGAGTTTTCTAGTTTTATTCTTGTCATTGATTTCTGGTTTCATAACACTGTAGTCAGAAAAGATGCTCAATATGATTTAAATCTTCCTAAAATTCATTGAGTCTTGTTTTGTGGCCTAACAAACATCATTCCTACGATGTAGCCTAGAAAATGTTCCATGTGCATTTGAGAAGAATGTGTACTCTGTTGCTTTTGAATGGAATGTTCTGTATATGTGTATGTGATCTAATGTATGGTTCAAGTCCAATGCTTCCTTATTGACTTTTCTGTCTGGATAATCTATCCATTGATATAAGAGTGGTATTAAAGTCCCACACTACTATTGTATTGCTATCTCTTCCCTTTAGGTCTGTTAATATTTGCTTTATATATTTAGGTGTCCCTATGTTGGGTGCATAAATATTTATAAATGTTAGAGTCCTGTTTGACCTTTTTATTATTATGTGATGATAGTCTTCTTTGTGTCTCATTATAGTCTTTGGTTCATAGTCGTCTATTTTGCTTGATAGAAGTATAGCTTTCCCAGGTTTGTTTTGATTTTCATTTGCATGGGATCTCTCTTCCCATCCCTTCAGTCTCAGTCTCTACAAGTAAAGTGAGTCTACTCTAGGCAGCAAACAGGTGAGTCTTGTGGTTTTTTAATACATTTAGGCACTGCATAGATTCTGATTAGAGAACTTAATTTACATGTAAAGTACCTTTTTCATAGGTATGTGTTTACTGCCACTTAAAATTGTTTTGTCTGTTTTGTAGTTCCTCTGTGCTTGTCTTATATGGCTCTCTCCCTTTGTCATTTGAAGAGTGTAGTGTTATGCTTAGATGTATTTCTCTTTTGTGGTTACTGTGGTTTATGTTTTGATAACACAGTTTACACCTTTTTACCTTGTATATCCATTAAGAAATTACTTTGGTTATTGTTATTTCTTACTACTTTTTCTTAATTCTTCATACTAGAGTCATAAGCTATTAGCCTGTCACTATTACAACATTAGAATATTCTGACTTGAACTATATATTATCTTTAATGGTGAAACTGTAGTGTTACTAAGTAACACACTTTTGTTTAAAGAAGTCCCCTTTACGTTTCCGGGAGAGGGGGACTTACCCATACCCAGAAGGGGGATCTGTTTTCAAAGTGTGTTAGCATGACGTGTGATGTCTTTCTCCCCTTCCCCACTCCCTAATTTAAAGTAAAGTAAAGAACCTGTCTTATAGACAGTATATGGTTAGGTCTGGCTTTTTTATACATTCTGATATTCTCTGACTTATATTGGACTGTACAGTCTATTATTGACATGGTTGGTTTTAGGTCTGCCATGTTATTATGTGCTGTGTATTTGGTATGTCTGGCTTGTTTTGTTCCCCTCTCTTACTTTCTTTCTTTTTGATTATTCCAGTATTTTTTAGAATTCCACTTTAGTGTATCTACTGGCATTTGCTGTGTCTTTCACTTATATTTTAATAGTTGATCGAGGTATTACAATATACATCATTAAGGGGTCACAGTCTACTTAGATGTAATATTGTACCACTTCATGTAAAATGCAGAAGTCTTACAATGATAAGTATAATAGCCAGGGGAGGGGTAAATGGACCTTATCATATGTATCTATATACTGTATTTGTCTTTTTCCAGAAGACACTCGGGAGAGAGTTCTGGGCTGGCAATCCTGAGGACGGCCTTAATGTGATGGACACAACATCACCATCATCACCATGGGGTAAGTAATGTGGCATAAAATACTTAGCCTGAATCTGATCATGCCTAGACAAGCAGGCAAATCCAAACTGAGAAACATTCTACAAAGCAACTGGCCTGACCTCTCCTAAAATGTCAGCGTCATGACAAATCAGAGCAGGCTATGAGGCTCAGCATCATGCATCTAGATGCAAAGCTTGGCCCCTTACTGGATCCTGGATGAAAAAAGTAATTAATACACTATAAAGAATATTAGTGGCAGAGAGGGATATTCGAGTTTACATTGTATATTAGATAACAGTAGCAGTGTTAATTTCCTATTGTGATTATGTAAGACAAAATCTATATGTTAACACGTCATTATGTATAAAACTTAATCTTTACTGAGTCAAACTATATATATGTATATATATACACACACACACTCTATATATAGTCATTTATATTTGTGTGTATAACGATGTTAACACATAGATAAACATAAACATGGTACTGAAAATAAAGCAAACATGGCAAAATGTTAAATTAATTGCAGTTCTGCCCTAAGTCTGAAATTATTCTACAATAAGAAGCTAAGGACCCTTTTAACATTGTGTAAAGTAAGCAAATAAGTACAATATAAAATATTCTTTACAAAGTGATTGGGTTGAAGTGAAGGAGTCAGACTCCTGTGTATGTAACTAAATGAGCTAAAAGAAGATAGACTGCTCATTTGTTTGTCTTTTTAAATAGAACTGAGGACACTGTCCCCTTTTAAAAATGTATACATGAGACAAAGAGACTGACCAGTGATGAATATTATCATCCAATATGACTTCACTCATACATCTCTTTAAAAAGTTATTGGGGTTACAAAAAGAGTGCAACTCTACCAGAATATGGTTCAGCAACCCCCAGCCTTATTGCATGAGGATGCACACTCCATTTTTTACACACCTGTGTGCATCCTGCAAGAAGATGGTGGGTTCTTTTCCCTTCTTAAATGCAGTTGGCTTGTCCAGTTGGAAAAAACTCACCTTTGAATCCAGTCTTCTCAGAGAACAAACTTACTGACAACAGAGCCTATCTGTTTTACTTTGGCAAGTTCTCTCTTAGCCCAACTCAGCCACTGGAAAAAAGCACTTCTGTCCTCCTGCCACGATCCTCTCAGCTCCACAAATCACCCAGCCCATGGCCGGGTGGGTACTATAATTTGGGTGCTTTCATGGGCACACCGCCTTTTTGCCAGTCTTGACAGGCCTAAATAATTAATGCTTCTAAGCACCCGGGGCTCTGCGTCTCACCACTAAAATATGCAACTTAGTTTCACATACTTTGCTTAAGGGAAAAATCCTGCAGTAGGAAATAGCAGAGTACTAAAACTCCATTTTTTTGGAATTTATAGACTTTACAAAGGCATGTAATATTTTTTCATATGCTGTGCTATCATTTATGGTCCCAACAGTCCACTAGCTCTCACTTGGAGAAAGAGACTCGGACGCAGAGACTGCTCGCCATCACTGACGTGTGGTGGAGCCGGGAAAACAGCGCCCAGTATTGCCGCCTTTTTCACAGTTTGAGTGAGTTCTCTAGTCTCAATGCCCTCATCATCTGCCTTCCTCAGTCTCTTCAGGAATCTTTCCCCATTCCCGACAGCCCTGGCCTTCCCAGCACCAGGAGCCACACTGCTCGGCCTCAGTCACCTCCACGCAGCAGCAGTTCCCTGGGAGGCTACAGCTTAGACACACGCATCGTTACTTCTTTGATGTCCAACTTCCGAATATTCCTGACCGTGGTCCCCTAATCTTCCACCCTAAAACTCACTGACACCTCTGACCTTTCCTTTTTGACTAGGCATTTCGCCTCTACAGTCTACTCTCATGGAAGATCTGAAGCATAAAATGAATTCAACACACCATGGTCCCAGGCAACAGAGCTTTAAGTGTGAATCAGACTCATGTTTCTTCCTTTCTGTGAGGTAAGGTCAGGAGGGTCAAGGGAACCCAGTTTAGGACCCGGCGGGGGGGGGGGGGGAAGCATGGGGGCTGACTCACTGCAGGCTGTTAAGAGGAAGAGAAAGGAGGGGGATGGACCGATAAGCAGATGGCTGGCCACCCCTGTCATGGTCATTCGAACAATGGATTCATTACCACTTCAAAGTGCTTTACTTGTTCTGACCTTCTTTTATCTGCCTCATGAACTACTGGTTTTCTTAGAACACAGTCCCAGGGAGAGAACACCACTGAAGAACGACACCAGGCCATACTGACCATTTCCTCAACACACTTTTTCCCCGTGTAACTCGATAATATTCCAACGGGGTCTCTTCACTGTCCTCAAGCCATATTCATTTTCAGTATTACCTGACCTTTTCTTTCACTGGGCAAAAAAATCTCCAACTTCCCTTCTCTTAGCTGAAAATGCTTTCTCAGAAGTGGCTAATGCATGTAACAGTGACCCACTGAGCTGTAATATATTTTCAGTGTGACTGAGCCCTTTACCCCATTTGACCTACTGCCCACATCATCTTCCTTCAACCTAAGCCTGCTGATGCAGCTGGACCACAGTGACTCCATTTTGTCACCTCCACCATCAGCCCCACCCCCGACATGCTTGAGCTTTAGCCTCCTCACAAGGAACATACCCAAGCCGGATAACTTCCCTCTCAACTTTCTGAAAACAGGAAGAATGCCTTTTGCTGACTGACAGATGGTTACTGGTCAGGAAACCTCTGGGGCAAGAGAAGCCCCCAGTTTCCATCCTTGCAGACATGCTCTGGCCGCTTTAGGTCCCCCTGCACCGCTTTCCGAGGCAGGGAGTGCAGCCGTGAATGCTTTGGGATCGCCGTTCACCTGAGCCTGCCTGTGTGTAAGTTACTGCAATAAACTTCGTATTTCTGTTTTACAGAGTTGCCTGTTTCATCCCTCGGTCTTAAAGTTCCTTCTCAGTTTGGAGGCTATTACTTTATTCTCCAACTTCCAACACTGCTCCGCACTACTTCACTACCCCATCACCCAAACGGAGGTCCTCTCCAGGGTACTGTATTCAGGCACCTTTGTTGTCTATTGCTCATCTCTCGCCTTTCAGCTATCAGTTCTGTGGAGGTCTCTCTCCAGTCTCTGCAGACTGCCTGTTGACCACTTCCTCAAACACAGTACTTCCACATTCAAAAGGATCACCACCTTCTTCCAACCAGCTCTTCTCCCCTCATTTCCTTTCCTCCACATTTTCCCGCCAGTGCCCTGGCCTTGGGTACCCTATTTTCAATTAAGTCTCATAGTCATCTCCTCCCATCCCAGACATCTCTCAAGCACGGGTCCTCAGAACCCCCATACCTTGCCCTTTGTGATTGCCTCCTAACTAGTCTCCGCTGATAAACAGTGTACTTTAGGACAGAGAAAGCTGCTGGAATCCTTTCTTTTTAAGGTATTTCTTACCTGCTAAGTGACTTTTAGTGGCCCCCTGACAGACACTGACCAAACATCTCTGTCCAACAGTCATGTCACTATAATGTGACCCCAACCTTCTTCTGTAGCCTTCCTTCCCCCCACTTCCTGCTTGGACCCTATCATCTTTCTACTAACTGGACCACTGGCTCTTTCCAGCCCACAGCCCTGGTCTCTAAATTTTCAATTACACTACCCTTTTTTTGGCGTATGCCCAGTTCCTATTCCATCGTCCAGAACCCTTCACAAATATCAGTTCCTCAAAAAAGCCGCCTCTGGTCTCCAAAATCCACGAAAGTTTAATACCATGCTGCCTTGTGTTGAGTAACTGAATAGCCAGCCCTTTGAGGGCTGGAACAGTGTCTCTCATCTTTGTACCCCTAAGGCATTTACGACAATGCCTGATCCAGAACTGATACTGGATAATTTACTGGATGATTAAAACCTCTGAGCAAACAGTGCACCATTTCCAGCCCTTAAGAGAGAACAAACTCCAAGGGCAGCAAAGACGGACACTCACCCATGGATTCTGAAGTTTGACTGCCAACCACCCGGAGCAGCATAGGCTGACTGCTGTCGGACCTCTGAAGAGAGGTAGAAGGGGAGGACACTGTTGTACCGTTCACCTTGGCCTCTGCCTGGGGCTAAGGCATCCAAAAGAAAATAGAATTATTTTTCATAATAAACACACAAATATATAAATATAAACGTATTATAGATACTCAAGACTCAGAAATTATGAGCTTTCCTACTTAGAAACCTCCCAAAGATGGTTAAAATAGGGAAATTTCACTGGTGATAAGATCTATGGATACTGTCTTTGTACCTTAATTGTGTCCCCTTACAAGTTTGAAAAACATCACAGCTACAGTGGAATAAGATACATAAAAGTCATGAGAACAACTGAAAGACTTAGAAGGTCAGGGGAGAATGGTGAAATCATATGAGGCCACAAAAATGTAATGGAGAATTCCTATTTCTATGAAGTATTAACTAATAAGATGGAGAGAATATACTTCAAAATTTAAAATTCCCGGAAAACTCAGGACTATGTACAGGTAAGGTAGGGCCTCCTACAATGCAATAATAGCCTGCTGCATTTTTCATGGAGACTTAAAAAATTATGTTTTAGGGATTATCAAAAGAAAAAACCCAAAGACATACCAGAAAATAAGACTAATTGCAAAAAAGAGTTCCACTTCAAGAGGTAGAATTTTCACTTTTACATAACTAGTGGAAACCTTTCGGTATTTTTTTCCAACATGAATTTTCAATCGGTCAAATACACATTTATGCAGGAAATAATCTGGAGTAAATATAAAAAGACATGCTAGTTTTCCTACTTTTTTTTTATGTCCCTGATATGTAGCACTTTGCTAGCACATACCAAGGTACTGAACGAACTGATGCTCGCTGCATTTCTGAAAAGGACTCAGAGTTCTACATTATAGTTTTAAGAGAGGAAAGTAAATTTTGGTGACTATCTCGTGTTAGAGAGCTGCGGGTCTCACTTGCTCCAGGAGCTGCCTGAGCCTGTGTAGCTGTGACTCCAGCTGTTTGTTGTGGTCTTCTAGGATCTGCATCCTGGCTTCCAGGCGGCCTTTGTGTTGACGCAGCAGCTTGGCCTCAGCAATGAGCTCAGCATCCCGGGGACTCTGGGGAGAGGTGGGCATCATTTCAGGAGGGGACGGCAGTGGGGACAGGCCTTTATGTTCATGCTGCTGCTTGAGACGATCATATTCTGCTTGCAGATTCCTGTTTGGCATCAAAGAAGTACAAAAAAAAAAAAGAAAGAAAAGGAAAAAACCCTGAATATCATCACCAGATTTCTTATAAAATGGCAGAGAGATATATCTGACCACCACCAAACACAGTAGCAAGCAAAAGAGAGGCACTTAATGAATGGTTTTTATGATGACGATTTTAGCAATGCTAGGGAAAAAAAAACTTGAAGCATCTGGTGTGTGTGAGGGGAGATGCTTTTCAATCTTTGATTTATACTAAAAGCCTTATGAGTGCTATGTTTACATAATGAAGCAGCAAAGGAGTTCATCATTTTGTAAATATTTCCTAATAACGTCATAAGATTATAATTCTTATACCTCTATCAATCAACACTTTGGTTTACTTAAAAAAATCGACTATTTTCAACAGCAATGTATAAGAACATAGTAAGAGTGTACCCATGTACCAGCCACACGGCTTTACTAAATTTAACTTTTGCCATATTTCCTTCAAAAATTTTTGAAGACATAAAATATGATAGTTCAAGCAGAAGCTTCTCCATATACTCTCCCTAAAATGGTACCAGTCCCCCCACCACCCATGTCCCCAAGGAGATAATGCCATCCTGAATTCTATGTCCATCATTACCATGAGTGCATCCACAAACCCTAGGTTGAACTTAATAGAGATGCTGATATTCGGCTTTTTTTTAACCTACAAAAATGGCCATTTCACGTGATTAAATCTAATAGCATCATTTTGCGTGTTCTTAAACTTTCTGTTTAAGAACTTTAAGAAGGTACATACCATTCTAAGAGTTGGTTTTTGCCTTCAAGACCGTTTTGGAGATTTATCCATGTTGATACATAATAGTTCATGATTTTACCTGCTGTAAGATATTATTCTGCTGCTTGAATATGCCAACAACATTCTCCTGTCAATGAACATTAGGTTGTTTCCAATTTTTCACTATTACAAACAAGGACGCAATAAACTTCCTTCTACCTGTCTCCTTGGGTACCTGTTTAAGAGATTCTTTACAAAATATACATAGATGTGAAATTGTTGGGTTCTAGCAACATCTTCAACATTGCTACAGATCACCAAATTGCTCCCCCAAGTGGCTTTATACCAATTCATTCTCCCACCAGAAATGAGTGTCTCCATTTGGCCACATCTTCATCATATACTTTGTGTTACCAAACACTGAAGTTTCGGGTCATGGGTGCATTTTAATGAGCAGATCTCTGATTACTGATGAGGCTGAACTTCTTTCATGTTAAATGGCTTCTCATGTTTCCTTAATCTATTTCCCTACGGGATTGTCTTTGTCTTATTCCACTTCTGGATGTGTTCTATATGCTTATCCTTTGCCAGTTAATGTGCACAGCAAATATCTCCTACCCGTGTGTTAGCACAGCTTATCTTTAGTCATAGCGTCCTACTGCACAATATTTTTTAATTTCAAAAGAGTCCTCCATGTTTTCTGGTTTTTATGTTTTGTTTAAGAAAATCTTCCTTACACTTATACTTTGAAGGTTAAAATTTTGTTCTTCACATTTAGGACTTTAATTTACCCAGAATCTTCTGTGCTTGGTGTGAACATAAAATCTTATTTTGCCCCCCGCAGAAAGATAACTTCCTAAGCTAGCCCATTTAATTGTACAGTCCACCTTTCCCCCACTGATTTCTATGGTATTTCTACAATACATGCAGCATCCAGAAGTACACTAGTGTGCTTCTGAGCAATTGTCTTCTGCTCGTTTATCTGTGTCCCTGTGCAGATTCCACACTATGTATTTAAATACACTGCTGTCTGGCAGGCCCTGTCAGTCCCACTTGTTCTGCCTCCAAATTGTCTTGGCTCTTCAGACCTCTCTGATTATCCCTATGATTTTAGTGTCAAAATTTCCTATTTCAGGAGAATCCTTGTTGAAATCTGGGGCTTGAATCACATTGAATGTATAAATTAAACTGGGAAGAACTGACTTCGTGTTATTGAGTCTTCACATCCAGGAACGTGGTGAAGCTCTTCAGTTATTCTAGTCTCCTTGTATGTCCGTTAATGTTCTGTAACTTACTGTGGATTTTCCTGTAGCTTTTCAGTTTGAATGCTTAAGTCATTTCTTTTTTATTTTTATGCTTCTTAATAAATACATTTAGGGTTATAGATTTCCTTCTTGCTTTAGAATTGCTGAGAATGCATTTCCGATTAAGGACACTTCTGTCTTTTGATACCCAGTGACTGATTAGAACTCTTGATATGTTTCTTCTAGTTATAAGTACCAAAATAAGAGGAAAGATTTCTGTTCTTCACAGATGACATTTTATCAGGTGAGAGAATGTCCTATCCACAAATGTGGGAGATGTCTATCTACAAGAAAAGACATGCGAGGCAAGTGGTGGGTCGGCAAGAAGAGTTTTCCCATTGTCCAGTCTGAGAAAGGAAGACAGTCTCATAACCAGGTTTCGTGTTAGTGACATGGGATTTT